CGAGCATGTTTGGTGTGACGGGGATTCGAACCCGCGACTCTCAGATTGTGAGTCGAGTGCCCTAACCACCTGGTCCTGCCGGGCCTCATAAAGTATAATAAAATCATCGAGAGGGCTGAGATCGATTACCAAAATTTCGTCTCCATAATAGATGATATTCATAGCGTCATTCTACAGATCAGTGTAAGTACGTAAGTACACACGTAACTAAGGGATGCCGTGGCAACTTTAGCAACATTCCTCAAATAACACGCGGTCACCATTGAAGGGTAAAAACCAAAAAACTACAATAACAACAAATATCTTTATGTCAAGTTAGAAAGGGGCTAGAAAGTCACATAAACTGTAAAAAGGTTGCGTTGTGAACTCACACAAACATTGTGTTATTTCATAGCAGAAATCACGTTCCCCAAACACAGAGCTGTGTGAACTACACTGTATAACACGACTGTTGGAGTGATATAAACACACAAGCTTTCTTTATTCAAATTACATTATGTACATCAAATATAACATTCATTAGAGGGTACATTATAAATTCTGAATGTTTTAAGTTTAATAATATCAATTTCCTGTAGAAGGTGTGAAAGACATTTTTATTTCAAAGATGTCATTTTACCATATATAAATACATACATGCACACTAAAAACGGGTTTATTGAGATTTAATAAACATATTATTATTATTAGACTATTAATAACACAGTCCTGACAAGGGTATATTTTTGTATGGGACAGTTCGCGGTTCCTTTCTTGTCTTTAACATTGTTACTATTTGGTTTTTGCTTTAGTTTTAATTCCGTTACTACATTTTTGTCTGTTGTGTTTAATACACCATCCAGTTTTCAAAAAGAAGAATTTGAAGTTGTAATAGGAAGAATAAAATTCTCAAATCTTCTGGCTGATGTAGATACATTTACCGTTTAAACTTAGTATGTTTCATTTAAAATTGAGTTAAAATGTGAACAAATTTCGAATTCAAACCATCAAAGTGTTTTGCACAGATCAAGTTTTGTGCAGTTTTACTATATTCGATCCAAATTACAATATGTAAAAAAAAATCAGCTTGCTCTATACATACATAGTACACCTGGTTTTCTTTACCTGATTATTCATTTATTGAAATGTTTTCATTACATCATGTTTGGAAATTTCCTTCCATTGAAAAACAAAACAAATATTATAGGAGAATCATGTTTTCATGTTCATTTTTTTCTTAATCCACACTTTACAGAAATCAGTTTGTTTGGACGAAGATGCTATTTTCTTGTGTTACGGTGGTTCGAAGGAGTGGGATAAAATAAAACAATAATCACAAGAAAGACTTTCTGAAAATATAAATATAATGATTTAGCAACAGAGGTAAGAGGGTTCAAAAGTAAAAGGAGAATAGATAAACCCCAAATCTTAAAATTCTGCCTGTATCTCAAACAAAAAATCGAAAAAGTAAGTTTGCCATTAGATTTTCTTATGAGGATGAAATCCACGATTTTTTTAGAACATAAATCAGGTCTTAAGCTTATCAAGGTCTGAATGAATTGTTGAACAATTGAGATTCGGGTTCAATGTTTGTAATTACTGGTTGGGTGATCACTGATCAGACTGGTATTGTTTGTTTGTTTTTGATGAGAAAATGTATCACACAAGGAAATTTTAATACGATGGTCGAAGTTGTTGAATGAATAGTAAAATAATAAAAGAAAACAAACATATATTTTCAGACGCTCAACTGAATAGGCCACAGAGAGACTTTGACAACGGAATGAGTTGCGCTCACTAAAATTTAAATATGTTTGTGGTGAAAGTTTATACTAAATAGAAAAGTTTCGCGTCCTCATTTGAGCTCATGGAAAACTGTGTATGTAATTATAACACAAACGAATGGTAATTTCAACAGAATCCTGCCGCAAACTGACATTGCTATGCAAAAACATTTACTTTTGTTATATACTAGTAAAAACTTGAAGAATTGCAATTAAAATACTGAAAAAGAATAACAGCACTATCAAAGCCGAATCTTTGTGTCATGAGAAACAATATCGTTTTTCAGCAAGTCGCAATGTAACAATACATGAGACGAACAACCAGTCGATTTGAATTCAGAATTGTTTGAATGGAATATAAATATTGACACGAATACGAAGGAAAGTAATGTCTTTCTTCGTGTAAGCTTTTCGCTTTCTCTGTAATACTGACGTCACTTTGTCGGCAACCAGAAATGTTAACTAGCACCTTGCTATTAGAAAAGAGCATGCGTGTGCACCTTTCCGAAAATTGGGGCGAAATGGGGTCAGTTTAAAGATATATAAAATTATACCTCTTAGTGCGTCATCAACTACTCGCTCGTCTTCACCTCACTCTTCCCTTGATTCTAACAACACTCGTGTCACAAAGACAAAAGGTTAACTCGTATTGCAAACCGACTTCACAGCTCATCTAAAACACATATATATACAGAGAACGTTTCCTCCTGTTTAGGGCCGCTGGCTGCTATGTGGCTCAGGTAAGATCAAATTAAGTTTGCTCTAAACCTTCCAGTTGCTCGTAAAGGACATTTTTTAAACAGCGTCTACGCTTAAAATTGTTGCATTAAATTTAAAGAGATAATAGTGGAAAAAATGTTGTTGTAGTTTTTTCTATTACAAAGCTCCACTCTGTTCACCGCGAGGAATCAAACCCAAGATTCTTGCATTGGAAGTCCGTAAACTTACTGCTGAATCACCGGGTAGGGGAGGGAGACAATAATACAGGAAAAAATAATTTTTTCTTCCCAAAATCCAGAAAAGTTATCAATTAAAATGTAAACTTTTTTCTTTTCCGTAAGGCAACATAATTATTCGTTGAAGTTGAATTGATGCTCAGAATCTCCATCGTGTGAGAATTTAGTAGAGATCCAGTCGTTCACGATATTAAATATATTCTTAATGCAGTGTTTAGTGTCTGGAGTGGACAAGATTGATAAAATATATGGGTTATTAAGAAAAGAAAATCCGATAAGGATCCAAACCAAATGTATATAAAATGCTTACAGCAGTTAAATTATATTCCTTGAGAAATATTTATTTCACCTGCAAAACGATTATTCTGTCTTTATTAAGAGATAAAACAGAATATTGCTTTGTGAAAGCTACGATTTTTCAAGATATTATTTACTATAAAACAGTTCTTGACTTTTTACACCTTACGAAGATTTTCATCATAGTCTCTTCAAATTAAACGTAAATATTTTTTTTTGGTAATTTTCCAAGCTTGACCCTCATGTATTATGTACATATTGTCATTTAGGGTAGAAACCTACCATATATATTAATAATATCGTGTTCATACATCGGTAAAAATCATAACTAACCTAATTATTGCATTGTCTTTCATATTAAGTTGATATTAAATATACTTTTATCCGTTTTTTTTTTTTGTTTATTTGTGGTTATCGTTGTCTGTTTGATATATTTCATTTAGTCATTTTATAGTACAGATAGTGATTCTTTTTACATTTGGTATTGTTATCAGTATTCTTAGTCTTTTAATTGTTTGATTTTACCGAGAGATGTCTCGAGCTGTCTTTTAATTGTTTGATTTTACCGAGAGACGTCTCGAGCTGTCTTTTAATTGTTCGAAAGGTTTGATATTACCGAAAGAAACATCTCGAGCTGTCTTTTAATTGTTTGATTTTACCGAGAGATGTCTCGAGCTGTCTATTAATTGTTTGAATACTTCCAGCATTATTCACATGTTCCTATTTCTTGGAATATGAAAGGTTTTCTGTTGTTTTCTCTTATCCTTTCAAATATTTCTCATCTCATTGCCATATATTTGCCCATTTATACTTTTAACTAATTTTAATGTTATTGTCATATCTTTAGTTTTTTTTAAAGTTACGATTTAATTGCCGAAAGCCGCGAAGCGTTGGATTTCATTAAGCCCAATACCCGTGATAAAAAAATACATTTAAACTGCAGAATTTTAAAATTTTATTCTTGAAATGTTAATTTTGGATTTCAAACGAAAAGCCTGAGAAAAACATTACTTCGGGTCTATCTTTCGTTGCCCCACCCCCACCCCCCCAATGGGCCCCTCAGTGGCACAGCGGTACGTCTGCGAATTTACAACGTTAGAAACTGGGTTTCGATACCCGTGATGGACAGAGCACAGATACCCCATTGTGTAGCTTTGTGCATAATTAAAAAACAAACAAACAAACAAAAAACCCCAATGGCACAGCGGTACGTATGCGGACTTATACCGTTAGAAACCGGGTTTCGATACCCGTGATGGACAGAGCACAGATACCCCATTGTGTAGCTTTGTGCTTAACTTTAAACAACAACTATCTTTTGTCTCCCACAAGTCACAGTCACGAAATTCTGTCGTTTCGTTACAGTTTAAGGGATAAGACGATGACAGACACATTTCAGTCTTTAATCAGTTAAGTGCCTTGGTGTTATTGGTGCATCCAAAGTGTTGTGACCGTTTAACTGTTTTAGTATTTCTAGTGTTACCTTGGAGTTTCTAGTATCTTAGATGTTAGAATACTCTTGTCTTGTGCTGATGCTATTAGCACATTTATAAGCTTTTGACAATTTTTGTGTTTTTAATATTATGGATATCAATATTTTAAGAGTTCGAGTGTTTTTGCTATCACTAGTACTTTGATTGTTTGAAAAAGCATAAGTTCTAAACGAATTCATAACATTATTATTATTACAACTCCCCAATGGCTTAGCAGTAAGTTTGTAGATTTATAACACTAACAACCCCCCCCCCCCTCAGTAGCACAGCGATATGTCTGCGGACTTACAACACTAGAATTCGGGTTTCGAAAGCTGTGGTGGGCAGACCATAGATAGCCCATCGTGTAGCTTTGTGCTTAATTACAAACAAACACTAACAACCGGGTTTCGATACCCGTGGTAGCCGATAGTACAGATAGCTCATTATGTAGCTTTGTGCTTAACAACGAACAATATATTTTAAAGGTCTCACTTATTTTTCCCAAAACATTTGATGAACACGCCTAAACTATTTTTTGATTAATTCTGCACCTTAACCCAAGAAAGCAAGATAAAAGAAAAATTAGAAACCTTATTATAAAACTTTATAAATATGATAATTATGTATTTGAATTTCGAGCTAAAGGTGACATTTATATACCTGAAAGGAATATGTGTTTCAGATGAAAATGGGTAGGTTATAAACATATTTCAAAAAGTGTTTGTTTTTTTTTGGGGGGGGGGGCTTTTCTTTTAAAAATTATAACTGAAACTTCATTCTATTAACTACGTGCGTCTCGAGTCACTTAAACATGTATATGTATTGTTAAGTACTAATTTATGTAATCCACTTTTTTACTGAGAACTATTGATATACGAATTTCATTTATGTTAGATTAATCTGTCTTGATTAGGGGTCAGTTGTGGCCTATTGATTAGCGAGTCTAGATGCTAAGCTAAGGGTTCGAGTTTCAAGACTTGATGCCACTGAACAAACTCGACATTTGTTAACTTGTCATAAAAGTGACAGTCAATCCCTTTTTCAGTTCGTAGAAGTGGTTGGTTTCCATGTCTCTTGTCAGTAGTTCAAAATTAGGGATCACTATACCTGGACACGATCAGATTGAAAAATCGAATTCTTGTAGTGATTACATTTGCTTAATACACACAATAACTTTATGTTCTTTGTTTTTGATAAGAGGAGATAAGTTCTTAGACGAGGGTGACCCATAAAGCGATCAAGAAGCGTCGCTAGGTGCTTCAAAAATTCAGGGCTCGAGCCCATAAGCGCTGGAATTTTCGGAGTTTCAGTATGATATCGTTCATGGTTTTTCTATTCTGATTCGGGGCAATGTCAACTAGAATCGGGGCAGGATCCCTATGTGTCAGCACATAGCCACGCCTCTAGAGCGATCAAACTTTAAGAAATACAAAATTCCAAATTTATTTCTCGAAGTTTACCATATTTCAAATCCTTGTAACTTGCTACATCCCATACCTGCTTACTTGATGAAGTTTGTTTTCTCGATAAATGCTTTATGATGTAGCGGTTTTAACCAAATTCATCAAGCTGCGTTTTTCTTTTCCTTCTTTTTCATTAGCTTTTCAACACAAAGGCCACGACTTAAACTTACTTAATGGAAATAATTGACTTCATATACTTTGTCTACGAATTTAATAGGAACAGATAAGTGCTTAAACGTGATTAAACTCAATGTGGAGCCAAACCGTTGTGACAAAAATACAAATTATAGAATTTAACAAATTCTTAGACTGTAAAATTGCTTCCGCTCATACAGATCTTGCTTGTTAAACGAGTTTATTTTTATTTTATTTTGCAATAAATGTGATAAGCAGTATTATATTCTTGTCGTTTATGCTTCATGACCTAGCACTTTTCCTCAAGTTATGTATTTTCTTATGTCTGTTTTTCTCTTAATTCTACACACAGTATCACCTTTACTAGGGTTAGGTTCCAGTCCAACCGGTTCACTTGTAGCTTTATAGTGTAGGATTACGAGGTTTCTTTAGATTCTTCCTTATATTTAATTCATCCATGGAAAACGTGTAATCCTAGACAAGATTTTGATTGAAAGAAACAAAAAGTATATTTAATCTAGGTGCTAGAGGTCTAAACCACTAATTAAAGTGTTCTGTATGAGGATAATATAAGGTAATTAATTTTGATTCAAAGAAACAAAAAATATATTTAATCTAGGTGCTAGAGGTCTAAACCACTAATTAAAGTGTTCTGTATGAGGATAATATAAGGTAATTAATTTTGATTCAAAGAAACAAAAAATATATTTAATCTAGGTGCTAGAGGTCTAAACCACCAATTAAAGTGTTCTGTATGAGGATAATATAAGGTAATTAATTTAAATGACATTCTTACTATTACTGATTCGTTTAATAAAGGTCCTGCCAGAACTATAAACGTAAATATAAACTAACACGAACACCAATTTGGGTAAGGAAAAAAAGTATTTCTTACGCAACTAACTTGCTGTGTGCACATCTAATCTGCCATTCTTTCTCTTTCTCTCTCTCTATATATATATATTATTACTTTCTCTCTCTCTCGTTCTTATTATGCATTTAAACACGATTCGCAATTTTAGATGTGGGGCGTCATAACTGTTACAGTCTATGCATGTTTGTTATAAAACTTAAAAAACCTACTACCTCTGCTCTGCCCACCGCAAGTATCGACACTAAATTTTAGAGTTATGACCCATCGCTGAGCCATCGTGGCCTGTAACTATCAATCCGGTTATTTGGTTAATAACTGCTATATAGGTGGCGTGTGTTGTTGACCTGTTGTCCACCTTCCGGATAAAAGTTGTAAATTCGGGAACGATTATGCCTAACTTTAGAAATATCTGACTTAGCCATTTTGCCTATGTGTAATATAAGAATCCTTTAATGTTGAAATTTACAAAATTCAATTAATCAACTAATAAAGCACGTATCTTACTCGATGTTGTACCAACCAGTTGTCCTGCATTTACTC